TTCCTTCCTTCCTTCCTTCCTTCCTTCCTTCCTTCCTTCCTTCCTTCCTTCCTTCCTTCCTTCCTTCCTTTTCTCTTCCTGCCTGCCTGCCTCCCTCCCTCTCTCCCTCCCTCCCTTCTCTTTCACCTTCCCAAATAAAGACAAGAAATATTAGCATTTTGCTTGACTAGGACAGACATTCCATCCGCGTTATCTGTCCATCCTTGGCTGCAGTTCGGGGCTCTCTGTTCAGTCAGGATGTCTCCCATTGCTTCGATGAAAACGTCTTGCAGGTCGAGGCCCAACTGGTCATTTTTTGTTTTCTTTTGCAGGTGTGGCTTCCCTTTTGTGAAGAAATGAGAAAGGTCAACCCTGAGCCCCAAGGGATCCTAATGGAGGACAAGAGAATTAGCAGAGAATCTGGCCAGCTCAGTCTGGTTTTCTCAGTTGTAGATTTATAAACAAGGGAAGGTTTTAAGCGCAAGGACAAATTGATTTTTGTACAGAGGAAAGTCTAATAAAAGCAGATGGTTTATTTAAAAGTAACCCCTGAGTGCCTGTCTCTGTTTTAAGTCCACGTGATGGACAAATGATTCTTTAAAAGAACTAGGCCTCAATTTACCATAGTTCATTTAGTGACCATTCAAAGTTACAACAGCACTGGAAAAAGTGACTTTTTCCCCACACGTGACTCTTGCAGCGTCCTCATCAATCATGTGATCTAAATTTAAACGCTTGGCAACTGACTCATATTAATGACGGATGATCCCCTTTTGCGACCTTCTGATGAGCCAAGTCAATGGGGGGAAACCAGGTTCACTTAAACAACTATGTGACTAACAACAATGTGACGGTTCACTCAACAACGGTGGCAAGAAAAGTTGTAAAATGAGGCAAAACTCACTTAACAATTCTCTCGCTTTGCAAATTCTGGGCTGAACTGGTAGTAAAAAATTTTTTTTTGAATCTTACTGGATTGACCAACTCAATAATTAAGAGTGGGCAGTAACGGAACTTAAGAGAGGTCCACTTTGACCCAACGGGTTGGAAGTTCTCTTCTCCAGTACATATTTTTTGTGGTGGAAGACAGTGTCATTATTGGTAGGACCAAGAGGAACAAACGGTTGGACTCCTTCCAACTACAGGGCCTCGTATTTTTGGGTTGGTCAATGCTGGACTTCTTCAGATGTGGAAGATAGCAGGGTGGGGGCAGGAGGAAAGAGAGAGAGAGAGAGACAGACAGACAGACAGATGTTCAGCTTAACCGTATGACCCTTTGCTGGTCTTAATTTAGATCTTAGCTTATTACATAAAGCATGCAAGGGCAGTAGTGTCAGGTTAAGTCCGGCAATGCCGATCTGGACCTTGGAGATTAATGCTCACAGCCTGCCAAGGATGAGGTAACCTTGGAAAAAAAAAAGATATCCTAATTCAACTCAAGGCCTGTCTCTTCATTCTCCAAATGGGGGTTTGTCCAGAACCTGGTTTGCGAGGCGTCATTGGGGTAATGCAAAGAACCAGACATTTCCTATTCCTTGATGCCCACACCACCTGTTTTTGCCTCCCTCTTCTATTTGCAAAGAGTTGAAGGCTTTTATTTTCAAAAGTAGCCTTGGATCATTTTGGCTTTGGAAATATTTTTTTTAAAAAAACAAATTTTATTTGGGTTTTCACAAAACAAAAAGGGAAATAGAACATCTTTTTTTAGTGAACAGCGTGGTTCCACATATCCATAGAGATATAATTTCAGTTACATATTCATCTTTCATATTCAGTTTCTTATCCTTACTTTATATATTCTCTATTTGTTGGGTTTGGAAATATTTTTACGAGGATTGGTCAGCTCGCCATCTTTATAACTGCTCTGGAATTTCCTCAGTTTAAGAGAGAGAGAGAGAGAGACAGAAAAGAAATAGGAAAGAAAGAAAAAAGAAAAATAGAAGGAAAGAAAGAAGAAAGAAAAGTAGAAGGAAAGAAAGGAAAAAAGAAATACAAGGAAAGGAAAGAAAAAGAAGGAAGAAAGGATCCGCTATAGTTGTAACTTGATCAATAGCTGTACCACCAGTGATCTGGTGGTAAACTTACAACGAGACTCTACCCACTGTGCTTCATTGCCAGCTGCCAAACAGCTGTTGGGTGCTGCAGCTGCAGAGGACCGACTCTGCTTTTAGCTGGCTATTAAACTTCCCCCAAAATTAACAACGGACTGTCATGAACCAGCACAGACTGGCTATAGCACACCGCTAGTAACCATCTTTATTAATGCTTTCCTATATTTTGGGGAAGTTGTATGCAAATACCTCAGCGGTGGGAGTTCATTTGCATTTTTTTTTTTTGTGTGTTGTGTGTGTCTGGTCTATAATTAGTTGTATTTCCAGTGTTTTCCTAGCATTGCCATCAGATCAACATTTTTATCAGAGATAGATGCCAAAAAAATTTTTGTTTTTGTTTTTAAAAATTAGAGATTGTCAACTTCGCAAAACTGATTTCTGATATGACCTTGCTAGCATCCTCCTCCTTGCTTCTGGCACTCCTGATAGCAAGCACTTGGGGTAATACTTTATGCCCAAATAGCTGCAATAGTTGGCTGCAAATTACTGCATTATTGGATGATATTATGAGGGAGAGGGGGATAAATGCAGGTTAAATGAATTGCACTTGGATCTTATGGAACTGGCAGAGTTTAAACCATGATCAGCTGGTCCCGTTAGGGATTGATGGACAGAATCCTTTCACGCAGAGGGTAATTTGGGGAAGAATAGACCTGGCTTATGGCATAAAAAAAGAAGAAACACGCTAAGGAAAGGCCAGAAAAGAGAATATAGAACCATGGTGGGTGGCAGAGGGGATCTATCTGTCCTTCAAGTTGGCCAGGTGAGAAAAAGAGAATCCACAAATTTGATAACTCTCCTTTGTTGACATAGGTTAACAAAATCTCAAAAGGCTGGCCATTTTGTTTTCCTTGGGAGCAAGTGCGAACCGAGTTCCAGGTTTTTTAATGTTGTCCATGTTTCCAAGGGGTTCAAGTATGGTTGGGTTTTTGCAGACTATCTCCGAGGTCATCTCTGGTTCTCTGGGAGAGCAGCTACCATCATTCCTTCTGCCAACTTGGTTGAGCAGTAATCATAAAATACTCGGATGACCCAAATGTTAGCTAGAAAAAGTGAGTTTTTGAGGAAGGACTAGGGTTGGGCAATTTCATAGAAGAATTTGAAGTGGCAACTTGGCATCTTCTGTTGCTTGCCGAACCGAGTTACAAAGGATGGGTTCCGGGATTCTTGGTCCACACCATCATCTCAAGAACCTCCAGAAAGGAACATCCTATCCTGATCTACGCGGTGTGTACTTGTATCTTCCCAACTGCAGGAGATGCAGCAATCTCATTCGTCCAGCCTGTCTCCGTGTCGACATCCCTGGGAAAAGCCGTTCAGATCTCCTGCACCCTTTCTGGTGACACCATGGCAACTCACACCATAAGCTGGTTTCAGCATCAACTGCCAAACCCACCCAAATATCTTTTGTATTATAAAGATGAATCCAACCAAAAAAGGAAAGAGGGTGTCTCGGATAGATTTGCAGCTTCCAAAGATGCCAGCCTTAATGCCTGTTACCTAACTATTTCTGAAGTCCAAGCAGCCGATGAAGCCACCTATTACTGCCTATCTTCAACAGGGTCAGAATAGCACTGTGCTACACATTATGGAGTAACGAAAACAAAAACCTACGCCTTGGGGAATTCATTCATGACAGCTGGTAAGAGGCGGCCAGCTGGCTGGTGGATTCAACTTAAGGTCTGAAGATGTTTCGCGGCTCTGATCCATGATGGAATTTAATTTGGGGAAACTAGTGGGCAGAACTTGTGATTCAGACGTGCGGTTGGACACAACACACTTGCATTAGGAATCCTCCCCCTTCCTCTGTGAGTGAACGTTAATGTTGTGCCTGTGGAATTCTCCCTCCAGGTCCAAAGTAGGTTAATTAGACACGGTTCCTGTTGAAACGCATAGAGTTGGGTTGAGTTGATCAATCGGTCGAGTGATCTCCAGAGGGAGGAGCCTGAAAGAGAAAGTCATGTGGTCACTTTCAAGGTGAGCATCCTTGCAAAAACAAGGATATCTGCAAGCGTCTCGACCAACTTCAGCCAACAGGAAACCATTTGTGCGTCTATCTCACTATACGTCTCATTTGTGGTTAACGGTCACTCAGATTCCGGAAACCACGGATATTTTTGCTGCATCTGTCACCATCTCCCAAGGGAGGAAACCCTGTGATGATCCGAACGTCTGTTTGATTCATTCAAGCTGAAGGATCTTCTCATCCAATGCAAGCCAAGATAGTGATTCAAAGGTCTTGCCACCAGGAGGAGCTCGAAGATCAAAAAACAAGTACCAGCCCCTAAGGTTCCTAAGCTTTGAGAAGAGAGAGAGAGAGAGAGAGAGAGAGAGAGAGAGTGTTGTAGGGATAGATAGATTGATAGAGATATAGAGATAGGTAGATAGATAGAGATAGAGATAGAGATAAGATAGATAGATATAGGTAGAGATATAGAGTTATAGGGATAGATAGATTGATAGAGATAGATGGGTAGAGAAAGAAAGAGAGAGAGAGACAGACAGACAGACAGATAGAATTCTTTACTGGCCAAGTATGATCGGACACATAAGTAATTTGTCTTGGTGCAAATGCTCTCAATGTACATAGAAAAGATACATTCGTCAAGAGTCAAGAATCATCAGGTACAACCCTTAATAATAGTCATAGGGTACAATAAGCAATCAAATCATACTAGGAATCGTTAGGATACAAGCAACAACTTTACAGTCATACAGTCATAAGTGGGAGGAGATGGATGAAAGGAAGGGAGGATTAATAGTAATAGTAATGCAGACTTAGTAAATTGTTGGACGATGTTGAGGGAATTATTTGTTTAGCAGAGTGATGGCATTTGGGAAAAACCTGTCCTTATATCTAGTTGTTCTTGCACTAACTGGTAGTAATGGAGCCATTATCCCCTTCCTGTTGGGGTAGGTGGTATCTGCTGAATACCATGGAACTATAATCAACATATAAGATATAAAATATAACATGCTAAATGGACCTTTGGCTGCCTGGTTACATTAGCAGCGTGGAGAACCTCAACAGGACTGGTTTCAACGGTCAACTGGAGCAGAATTTTCCCTTTTAGGACTGATAACATTAGGGGGGGAAAGGCATGCGAGATTATTTCAATCTACGATTGCTGCAGTGAGATTTTTATATGCACAGGGATGGAAAAAATGGACACTAACCACTTTGGAGGAATAGCTAGTAACATTGACGGATCTTCCTGAGATGGATAAACTCACTTCTTTGATTAGACAATCTATATTTTTAGTAACATGAAAAGATCCAGGAATGTATAATGTTTCCATAGCAAATGAACCTTGAGGGGAAGAGATTTATATCTTGCACTTTGTGCAGTGGGGAGATTATTAAATACTAATTATGGAGATCAGAGATGATCTGATCAAAGATGATTTTTTCCTTTGTTCGTGTACATTTTTTTTTTTTTTAATCCTGTCTGTCCCAAATATTTCTCCAGAGATCTGTATAATAATAAAATAAAGTTCCCAATACCTGCAGACTCTAGCCAATGACAAAAGGGATCAATGCCCAATGTTATACACATACACATACACACACACACATATACATATACATACATATATACATACATACATATGTCTTATTTTGCAGGAAACATGGTAGTCCTGCACTTCTGACCACAAATGAGCCCAAAATGTATGTTCCTAAACCCATAAAAATGTAAAAACCTCTAAGCAAAATTATTTGACCCACCATCATTCCACTCCAGGAAGGAAGTGTGGATTTGCATATTTCTAGCCCTCATTAAGACTTTAAATGAGAAGAACTGGGAGACCTTTGCTAAGCTGCTGTGGTCTCAATTCATCATGATGGCGAATTGCTATGGAGTCGTCATTGTCCTAGTTTCTTGCTTTGGTGAGCACGGGAAGGGTGGAAGTTGAGTTTTTCTTTGTAGAGGCACTTTAAAAAAAACAAACCAGAGTTGTTTGTGTCTTGGTTTTAGCCAAGGATTTTGCCTCAGTTTCCCAAAGCAGTGTTGGAGAACCTGTGGCATCGTAGTGAAGGTGCTGGATTAGAAACAGGGAGACCTTTCGGTCTACTCTGCTGCAAGGCATGGGAGCCAGCTAAATGGAGCAATCACTCCCTCTCAGCCCAGTCTACTTCAGAAGAGCATGGTTGGGAAAATACAAAGAGGAAGCCTTAACTATGTCTTCTTCTTCTTCTTCTTCTTCTTCTTCTTCTTCTTCTTCTTCTTC